ATGTTCACAAAGTTGTGCTACAACCGTCACTATCTAATTTCAGACCCTTTTTATCTTTCCCTCCAAAGAAATCTCACACTTATTAGCAAAATCTTCCCATTCAATTCTCCCTCCAGTTCCTGGAAACCACGAATACACTTTCTGTCTCTGTGGATTGACCTATTTTGAAGATTTCATATAAATAGAATCAATCATACAATAGAAGGCCTTTGGGCTCTGGTTTCTCTCACTTAGCGTGTTTGCAAACTCCATCTATGCTGTAGAATAAAAGTACTTTGTTCCCTTCAATTTTCCAGTGAGGGTTTCAGTGTCTGGACTCCCCACATTTCATTTACCCATTTCTCATTGTGTGGTCTGGGATGTTCCTCTTTCTGTGTGTGTGTGTGTGTGTGTGTGTGCTGCTAATAACACTCCTGTACATGTTTTTGTATGAACTTATGTTGTCTATTCCCTTGCATATGAACCAGAGGTGGGATTGCTGGGTCATATCATAACTTTATGTTCACCTTTTGGAGGAACTGCCAAACTGTTTTTCAAAGTGGATGTTCCATTTTAAATTCTCACCAACAAAATCAGAGGATTCTGATTTCTCCACATTCTTACCAACACCTGTTATTGTCTGCCTGTTCAGTAATAGACACTTCATTGTGAACATATGAAACGGTATTTCTTTGTGGGTTTGATTTGCATTTCCCTGATGACAACTAATAGTGTACATCTATTTCTGTACTTGTTACCCATGTGTATATCTTCTTTGGTGAAATATCTATTCAAATATCTTGCCAATTTTTAAGTTGGATTTTTTTTTTATTGTGTAGTATAGGAATCTTTGTAGATACATAATTTACAAATGTTTTCTCCTTTTTTTTTTTTTACTTTCTTGATAGTATCTTTTAAGAACAAAAGGTTTTTTTTTTTGTTTTTTGTTTTTTAATTTGATGACTTCCAATTTATCTATTTTTTTCTTTTGTGTTTTGTTCTTTGGGAATTATATCTAAGAAACCATAGCCTAATCCAAGGTTGTGGAGTTATGGCTATAGTTTCATCTAAGTATTCTATTCTATGGTCTTACGTCTTACATTCAGTGTCAGATCCATTTTGAATTAATTTTAATATATGGTGTGTGGTGGGGGCCCAACTTCATTGCCTTGCATGCAGATGTCCAGTTCTGACACCATTTTTGATGTGCTTTTGTCTTTAGCCACCTCCACCCCCACCATTTTCTGAACAGTCTGTGTATGACTGCCATTATAATATCATTTAAGTTATTTTTAAATTAAAAACATTAGCCTGGCCAGTGTGGCTCAATGGTTGAGCATTGACCCATGCACCAAGAGCATGCCGGTTCGATTCCCGGTCAGAGCACATGCCCAGGTTGTGGGCCTGATTTCCAGTGGGGGGCGTGCTGGAGGCAGCCAGTTGATGTTCTCTCTCATCGATGTTTCTATCTCTCTCTCCCTCTCCCTTGTTCTCTCTCTCTAACATCAATAAAGACAAAAAAATTAATTAAAAACATTGGATAACATATTTAGAATCCTTTTTGATAATACATTTGGAAATCTAGACAAATAGAAAGCCAGTCGACTCAAAGATAACACGTAAGAGGAAAATCTGAGTTCCTTCTAGTTCTCTTCTTTGTATTCAATATAGCCGTCTGCCCATTACATTTTTAACCTGAATTTTGTTATTTCGTGTTATAGACATCTAATATAGTGTGTCAGTTTTAATGACTGCAAAATGTCCCAGCTGGTGGGATTGTTTCTGCCTGTTTGAGCCCTCCTCCCACCGGGGGTGAGCTTGGCAACAGCGGTGCTCTGCCACCAGGTCTGCAGGCGTTCTGACCCGGCTGGTCTGCAGTCTGCAGGTGTCACCGGGCTGTGTGCCTCCACCTCACCACCCTGGTTTCCTCATCTGTAGATGTAAAAACGATGGAAAATTCAGGAATCCTTCACAAAGTGTCGTGGTGAACATACAATGAGCACTTCACAAAGCACTTGGGAAAACGCCTGACACATAGAGTTCACACAATACTTGCTCTTATATTTTAGAATTTTAAATTATCCCAATTTTCACACATGGGGCAAACTGTGATGAACATATTATTTAGCTTGTTTTTAGTAATAGAATTTAAGTGAAAACATAATATGTATATTTAGGTACGGTTTTACTAATTGCAAAAAAAATGCTGTTGAAAATGTTCTCTACAACGGCCAGCGTAGCTCAGTGGTTGAGCATCGACCCATGCATCAAGAGGTCGCCAGTTTGACTCCCAGTCAGGATACATGCTCAGGTTGTGGGCCTGATCCCCAGTGGGGGGCATGCAGGAGGCAGCCAATCAATGTTCTCTCTCATATATGTTCTCTCTCATATATGTTCTCTCTTGTCGATGTTTCTATCTCTCTCTCTATCCCTCTAAAATCAATAAAGAAAAAGAAAAAACATTTCAAAAAAAGAAAATATTCTCTAACATTTACCTTCCTGACAACTTATATCATTTCTTAACTTTTTCGTACAGAAGAATTCAGTTATACACTCTAGTAGAGAACAGTTTTAGAACCCATGTCCCCATTAGATAGCTTCAACAGCTATCAGCTCATGACCATTTTTATTTAATCAATATGCTCATATCTCCTCTTCTTTTATTATTTTGAAACAGATGCCAGATAACATATCTATAAATATTATAGTAAGTACTGCTAAATGATAAGGATTCATAAAAGCACATATCCACAGGATCATTATCATAAACATTTAAAGAACAATTTTTAATAGTATGCCAACTGTTCTATTTATTTTTGTTTGTTTCACGTTTTCCTAAATTAATTGCAACCTAACTGATTTTTAATAACTACTAGCCAACTCATTACCCAGGATTGGTCTTCGTGCTTGTTCTAATCCTAAATTTAATTCTATCACTGTTATTAGGACCCGTTAGTCTTTATTGTGTTTCTGCTATGTGCCATGACTTTACGTAACTGCTTCCAATCTATGTACCTACCACAAGACTGAATACATCCATGTTTATGTTTGAACACCTGAGGTTAGTGAGATTCCATGAGAACTGGAGAATAGCACAGCCATTTCCAAAGTCCATCAGACCACATGGCTGACTCAGAAACACACCTTCTGAAGCACACCTGTCTCCTGGCTACTTCTCTTAGCTCATTCCACGTGTTGACACCTAATCAGCATTGAGATCCTCTTTCAGATCTTCCCAGGCTACTGTACCCCGTGGAGACATCCAACTCTGGGAATTATTTCTGTCCCTCACATGTAATATAGGCTACCTTCCATCAGTGTTATTACTATTATTTGTAATGTGTGTCCTGTCTGCTCCGAATAGAATCAACCGAGTTCTTTCCACCAGGGAGATGCCCAAGAGATGTGCTCATATTGGTACTGTGGTCCTGCTTGCTGGTCATTGATGAGCACCTTCAAAGTTAAGGTTTTCTTCTGTTTATCCTGATGGATTTGGATGTTCAGACAAATCCATCAGAAAGCTTTATCCCTTATATTATAAAGTGTAACAAACTGAGAATAATAGAATCCAAGTGTTTTTGCTGAATTTACTTGACATTGAAATTGAAAACACCTAAACAATAAGAGTACTAGGAATAGGGGAGGAGGGGGGAGCAAAATTTGATAGGACATTCTAGTTAAAAATACTTTTCATTTTAATTTCCTATCTTAAGTGTAAAAAGAATATATAGTACAGGTCCATATTTAATAGGTTATATAACAGAATGCTTTGATTTATACTTACCCTTGAACACACACACGCACAAAGCAAATGTCAAATAGAAACCATGTTGCTGTGAACTCGGAGACAGTAGCTCAGGAGGCAGGCAAAAAGTTCCCAAGGAGGTGAGTTCACTGAGGAAAGTGCTCGAATCGAGCGGATCGCTGACCTGAGTCCTCAGCTGCGAATCTGTGGGCGTGTGGGCGATCAAGCGGATGGAAACTGCATGATGGACGTGAACTCCTCCTCCGAGCCTTTAGCAAAGTCAACTGCTGTTGCCAAGCTGCCAGCAATGCACGTGCACAGGACCTGCCTGCTCCTGTGCAGCACGCGTGCAGGCTGCCAGGGACCCTCCATGAAAGTAGGCGCTGGCAGTGAACTGGAGCAAAGGCCAGCTGGGGCTGTGTTCTCCGTGCCACCAGTTCAACCAGAGGTCCTGGGGAGCTGGGAACATCCCTAGTGCCGGCCAGAGAAAGGAAGTAATTATGCGAATAGGGGCTCATGTTTACTGGGCTATTTCAATGACAGAGGTTTGCCAGATCTGAGCTGGGTTGTTCCAAGAAGGACCCTTTGCTGTGCAGAGACAAAACTGAGAGGCAACTTCAGAGTAGCCTTGATTGAAAGAAGAGAATATCTCAGCATTTGGATAGATATGCCGTCAATAAACAGATTTTAAAAAAATGTTTGTTTTTTTTTCTTTTTTGATTTTAGAGTGAGACGAAGGGAGAGGGAGAGAGATAGAAACATCAATGAGAGAGAACATCAATGTGTCTCACATCGATGTTTCTCTCTTTCTCTTTCCCTCCCCGCTTCCTAGTCTACCTGAATATACATGGAAAAATATCCTCGGGTGAGGATTAAGGAAAAAAAAAAGGAAGATGGTCCCAGTGAAATTTCTCTATACTGTGTGGGGGCAGGGAAATTTTATCTTTGCTTCTTGAAAAATGAGCTTGACACATAGTAGTTATTTTGCAAATATATGTTAAACCGGACCTAAATTCCAAAGTGCCTACCTCAGCTCTCTCTGTTAGCAATGCAGTCTTGTTCAGGGTCTGTGACCTCTGTGAGCCTCCTGTTTCTCGTTTGTAACTGAGATTCATGACTTCTGCCACTTGGGAGTTACTGTGGAAAGCGTATCATGTAATTAATGCACAGACCCTCACACCATGCCTGATGCATAGGAACAATTAACGAGCGATTTTTATATCCTGAATAGTCAACTCGTATTTTAATGTGTGTTTTTCTGTGTTATATTTTGCAGAGGTTTCTGCTGTTTTTGAGGCTGACACTTCAGTTACTTACACGTTTCAAGAACCTTACCCGGTGACCAAGAATCTAAGTCAGTCATCCTCAGCAATTTATGCAGAGTCAGCTCCCTCCAAGGAACACATTGCACTTAGCTTTGTGGCAGCCCATGCACCCAGCCTCCTGCTCTACGTGAATTCCTCTCAGGACTTCCTGGCTGTCCTGCTCTGCAAGAACGGTGAGTACTGGAGGCATGGAGCCCGATGCAGGCTGAGCTGCAGGGAAGGCGTGTGCCCTCCAGAACGCTCCACAGTCTCAGCCTAAACCCGCTCTCACCCGAGCAGCTGATTTCCAGATCTCCCGGCAAACCCTTGTTTGAACTTGACCTTTATGAGTTTCCAAGGTATCCCAGACCAGGGTCAAGTCATCGCCGAGTCTCAAATGCATTGGCTTTAATTTGCCTCGACTGGGCGGCAGTAATTCTGTATTATTTATTCTGTGCTGGAATCCACTCAATGTAAAGGAGCAGATCATAAGCATGTCCGAATTTAAGAAGGACCCTGGTCACATAAACCCTGTGGCTTGGCTGCAGTCTCCTTCGCTGAGGGCTGGTGAGACAGCCAGCACAATGCAGGCTGCACTAAGAGGAGTCGATTGCTAGGTCTTGAAGGGAAGTTGTATATGTAACTCATGACCTTGTGGGATGTGGATTGAATTTGGATCATCTGATTTTGACAAGAATGTGAACACAATGGAATATGTGAAGATTAGAACCCACTGTATATGAGGAATGGTGAACAACACCAGTTTTTTTTTTTTTTTTAATAATATTTTATTTATTTATTTATTTTGTTACAGATATTTTACCTTTTTACCCCATTGGTACCCCCCACCCTAACCCCCCTCCACCCTGTCCCCGGCTTAGTTGTCCATGTCCATTGGTCATGCATACATGCATATAAGTTCTGTGGTTTATCTCTTCCCACCCCCCCACCCCCCATCCCCTCTTCTGAGGGATATCAGTCTGTGCCCTACTTCCATGTGTCTGGGTCTACTGTATTCCTCAGACTGTTATGTTCATTATATTCCGTATATAAGTGAGATCATGTGGTATTTGTCTTTTTCTGCTTGGCTTCTTTCACTTAGGATAATACTTTCCAGGTCCCTCCATGTCGTCTCAAAGGATAAGAGATCTTTCTTTCTTACCGCTGCATAGTACTCCATTGTGTATATGTACCACAGCTTTTTTATCCATTCGTCTACTGGTGGACACTTGGGCTGTTTCCAGATCTTAGCTATTGTAAATAGTGCTGCTATGAACATGGGGGTACATATATTCTTCCTGATTGGTGTTTCAGGCTTCTTAGGGTATATTCCCAGCAGTGGGATCACTGGGTCATATGGAAGTTCAATTTTTAATTTTTTGAGGTAGCACCATATTGTATTCCATAGCGGTTGCACCAGTCTGCATTCCCACCAACAGTGTATTAGAGTCCCCTTTTCTCCACACCCTCGCCAACACTTGTTGTTTGATGATTTGTTGATGGCGGCCATTCTGACAGGTGTGAGGTGATACCTCATTGTTGTTTTAATTTGCATCTCTCTGATGATTAGTGATGTTGAGCATTTCTTCATATGTCTCTTGGCCATTTGTATGTCCTGTTTGGAGAGGTGTCTATTCAGCTCCTCTGCCCATTTTTTAATTGGGTTCTTTGTCTTCCTTTTGTGGAGTTGTATGAGCACTCTATATATATTGGAAATTAACCCCTTATCTGAAACATCATTGGCAATGATGTTCTCCCATACAGTGGGTTCCCTTTCCATTTTGATGATTGTTTCCTTTGCTGTGCAGAAGCTTTTTAGTTTGATGTAGTCCCATGTGTTCATTTTCTCCTTTATTTCTGTTGCCTTAGGTGATGTATCAGTGAAAATTCTGCTCCGTATGATGTCCGAAATTTTGTTGCCTACATTTTCTTCTAGAATTTTTATGGATTCATGGGTCACATTTAAGTCTTTTATCCATTTTGAGTTTATTTTTGTGTATGGTGTAAGTTGATGGTCTAGTTTCACTTTTTTGCATGTAGCTGTCCAATTTTCCCAACACCATTTATTAAAGAGGCTGTCTTTACTCCACTGTATGCTCTTACCACCTTTGTCAAATATTAATTGAGCGTATTGCCTTGGGTCCATGTCTGGGTTTTCAGTTCTGTTCCACTGGTCTATATGCCTGTTCTTGTGCCAGTACCAGGCTGTTTTGGTTACAGTCGCTTTGTAGTATAATCTGATATCTGGTATTGTGATCCCACCTACTTTGTTCTTCTTTTTCAAGATTGCTGTGGCTATTCGGGGTCTTTTTTGGTTCCATATGAACTTTTGAAGTATTTGTTCTAGTTCTATGAAATATGTCGTTGGTATTTTGATGGGGATTGCATTGAATCTATAGATTGCTTTGGATAGTATGGCCATTTTAATTATGTTAATTCTTCCAATCCATGAACAGGGTATGTGCTTCCACTTTTTTATATCTTCCTCTATTTCTTTTTTCAATGACCTGTAGTTTTCTGCAAATAGGTCCTTTACTTCTTTGGTTAAGTTTATTCCTAGGTATCGTAATTTTTTTGGCGCAATGGTAAATGGGATTGTTTTTTCAGTTTCTCTTTCTGTGAGTTCATCATTGATGTACAAGAATGCCGTCGATTTCTTGACGTTAATTTTGTATCCTGTTACTTTGCCAAATTCATTTATTAAGTCTAATAGATTTTTGATGGAGTCTTTAGGGTTTTCTATGTACAATATCATGTCATCTGCAAATAATGATAGTTTCACTTCTTCCTTTCCAATTTGGATCCCTTTTATTTTTTCTTCCTGTCTGATTGCTGTGGCTAAGACTTCCAGTACAATGTTAAATAAGAGTGGCGAAAGTGGACATCCCTGTCTTGTTCCTGTTCTTAATGGAAATGTTTTTAGTTTCTGTACATTGAGTATGATGTTGGCTGTAGGTCTTTCATATATGGCCTTTATTATGTCGAGATATGATCCCTCTATTCCTACATTGCTGAGCGTTTTTATCAGAAATGGATGCTGGATTTTGTCGAATGCTTTTTCAGCATCTATTGATATGATCATGTGGTTTTTATTCTTCATTTTGTTGATGTGGTGTATCACGTTTATTGATTTGCGAATATTGTACCAGCCTTGCATCCCTGGAATGAATCCCACTTGGTCATGGTGAATACTTTTTTTGATGTACTTCTGGATCCGATTTGCTAGTATTTTGTTCAGGATTTTGGCGTCTATGTTCATCAGGGATATTGGCCTGTAGTTTTCTTTCTTCGTAGTGTCTTTTTCTGGTTTTGGAATTAGAATTATGCTGGCCTCATAGAACGTGTTTGGAAGTCTTCCTTCTTCTTGAATTTTTTGAAATAGTTTGAGGAGAATGGGTGTTAGTTCTTTTTTGAATGTTCGGTAAAACTCCCCTGTGAAACCATCCGGGCCTGGGCTTTTGTTTGCTGGGAGAGTCTTGATTACCTCTTCAATTTCCTTGGTTGTTATTGGTCTGTTCAAGTTTTCTATCTCTTCCGGGAATAGTTTTGGGAGACTGTGTGTTTCTAGAAATTTGTCCATTTCACTTAGATTGTCGAATTTGTTGCCATATAGTTGTTCATAGTAGTTGTTAATGATCTTTTGTATTTCCGTGGTGTTGGTTGTTACTTCTCCTCTTTCATTTCTGATTTTGTGTATTTGGGTTCTCTCTCTTTGTTTCTTGGTGAGTCTAGCTAAGGGTCCATCAATCTTGGTTATCTTTTCGAAAAACCAGCTCTTTGTTTCATTGATCCTTTGAATTGTTTTTTTGGTCTCTATGTCATTTATTTCTGCTCTGATCTTTACTATTTCCTTCCTTCTACTTGCTCTGGGGTTTTCTTTTTGTTTGCTTTCTAGTTCCTTAAGTTGTGAGGTTAGACAGTCAATTAGAAATTTTTCTTGTTTTTTGAGGTAGGCCTGTAGTGCTATGAACTTCCCTCTCAGAACTGCTTTCGCTGCATCCCATAGATTTTGTGTTGTTGTGTGTTCATTTTCATTGGTTTCCAGGAAGTTTTTAATTTCTTCCTTGATCTCGTCGGTGACCCAATCATTGTTTAATAACATGCTATTTAACCTCCATGTGTTGAAATGTCTTTGCATGTTCTTGTTGCAATTGATTTCTAGTTTCATGCCATTGTGATCTGAGAAGATGCTTGATATGATTTCAATATTCTTGAACTTGTAGAGATTTAGTTTGTGTCCTATCATGTGGTCTATCTTTGAGAATGTCCCATGTGCACTTGAGAAGAATGTGTATTCTGTAGTTTTGGGGTGTAATTCTCTGTAGATATCTATTAAATCCATTTGGTCTAGTGCTTCATTTAGAGTCTCTGTTTCCTTGCTAATTTTTTGCCTAGAGGATCTATCCAGTGCTGTCAACGGGGTGTTGAAGTCCCCGGCTATGATTGTATTGTTGTCGATTTCTCCTTGGAAGTCCTCCAGAAGATTTTTAATATATTTTGGTGCTCCTATATTGGGTGCATATATGTTTATCAAGGTTATATCTTCCTGTTGGATAGATCCTTTCAATATTATGTAGTGGCCGTCTTTGTCTCTAGTTATGGTCTTCATTTTGAAATCTATTTTATCAGATATGAGAATTGCTACCCCAGCTTTTTTTTGCTTTCCATTTGCTTGGAAAATTTTTTTCCATCCCTTCACTTTCAACCTATGTGAGTCTTTTGTTGAGAGGTGGGTCTCTTGTAGTCAACATATAGATGAGTCATTCTTTCTTATCCAATCAGCTACTCTGTGTCTCTTTATGGGAGCATTCAATCCATTAACGTTTAAGGTGATTATTGATATGTACTTATTTATTGCCATTTTTGTTTAGTGTGGTTCTATTTTTCTTCCCATTTCTACTGCTAATTACAGCAGTCCTTTTAACATTTCTTGCAGTGCTGGTTTGGTGCTAATGTATTCCCTTAGCCTTTTTTTGTCTGGGAAGCTCTTTATTTGATCTTCTATTTTGAATGATAGCCTTGCTGGGTAGAGTAGTCTTGGATTCAGATTCTTGTTTTTCATGACTTTGATTACTTCATGCCATTCTCTTCTGGCCTGTAGTGTTTCTTGTGAGAAGTCAGCGTAGAGCCTTATGGGGTTCCCTTTGTAGGGCACCTGTTGCTTATCTCTTGCTGCTTTTAGGATTCTCTCTTT